TGTCTATAACAATCAAATCTGAATTTAAATCACATTCGAGAGATGCAAGGCATCGGACCTATCGATACTTCAATTCTTCAATCTTTTCCAGTGGGAAGCCTTTGACCGAATGATTTATATTCAAAGACTAGAAGTCGAGGTTTTAATCGTCAAGCCCTTCGTGAATTTGATTTCAGATTCTGTTCCCCTCTTTCAACTCGATTTCTGTTATGGAACTTGATTTCTATTCTGCAATTGATTACTGTTAAGAACAAATATATGAATATGTTTTTTTTGTCTGACAATTTATATTAAAGCGCTTGATTTCTTCACTCAATCTGTGTAAGCACATGTATGTATGTGAAGTCTAGAATTGACATCAAAAAATTGAGGTTATTGTTCAATTTGTACAAATGTGAAAAAAATTTCAATTAGACTTCTCCATCAGGTGTTAATTATTGACTTTATTTGGTCAACTTTAGAAAACTAATGTATACATGAACTAATTTGATAACTTTATTATGTTAATTTTCTATTTTGATTGGTCTCTAATTAGAAACTTTATTGTTGTTTCTGCACCTAACTTTGCAGTTAGCACAAAACAAATTTGTTGAATATAATGGGAATTCCATATGATTACATAGAGCTGAAAGAGTGGGTGCTTATAAAAGAATGAGAAATTTATCCTTAAAAGTATTTATGTTCGGATAAAAAGCACTTGCTAGATACATTCACGCCAAGAAGATTGTGAAATCAACCACTGTTGTTTATGCTGTTAACTGACAAAAATATGGATAGTTATAATTTTTTTTAATGAGAATGTTATCATCTTTTAAATTCGTCGTAATTCGAACCCATGTACTAAATGAGAATGTAGTTATCATTTTTCTTTACTTTTTTCCATTAAACGGATATCCATCGGGTTCCCCATACCCGGCGGGGAATTTTTCACCCGAACCCGTCGGGGATTAGGCGGGGTGGGGGCGGGGATGGGTGTGGGGATCGGAGGTCGGGTACGGGGATGGATAATGCAGCCTCTGCCAATATCCGCCCCCGTTTGCATCCCTAGGATCAACTGTCAAAATGGATGTCAATAATATGCCTGATGGGAAGAAATATTTTAGTAAGTTATATATATGTTTTGAGGGGCTGAAACAAGGTTGGAAAGGCAGTTGTAGAAGAGTAATAAACCTGGATGGTAGTTTTTTAAAGGGATTATGTAGTGGAGAGTTGATATGTGTCGTAGGAAGAGATGCTAACAATCATATTTTCCTAATAGGATGGCCAATTGTTTGTGTGGAAAACAAAGAAAATTGGAAATGGTTTTTGGAGAATCTTAAAGATGATCTACAAATGGAAAATGGTTTTGGTATTACCTTGATGTCAGATCAACATAAGGTATATCACTTACTATACAACTTAATGTTTTTTCTTAATAAATTATATTTTATTAACAGATGAATTTAAATTGTGTAGGGGCTATTGGAGGCTGTGAAGGAAGTATTGCCTACTGCAGAACACAAACAGTGTGCAAGGCATAATGTTTCCAACTTTAGGAAAAGATTCAATGGTGTGCATTATGAGACGATGTTTTGGAAGGCATGCAAGGTATCAAATGAGCCTTTATTCAATGCAGCCATGAAGGAAATACAACTACTTAATCCTACCACATTTAATTTCCTTGTGGAAAAGGACCCAAAATCATGGTGTAAAGCTTTCTTTCAAGAGAGGAGGATGTGTGATGCTGTTGAAAATGGATTATCTGAAAGCTTTAATAATATCATTAGAGATGCAAGAAAAAAAAAATCAATAATCACAATGTTAGAAGAAATTAGGTTGTATGTTATGGAGAGGCAATTCAATCTTTGTAACATCCCGAGTTCAGGAGTGCAAGTTCAGGGTTCAAAGTGGAAATATGAAAGGGCAACTCAGCGAGTCCATGGGTGGACTCGGCGAGTAGGGTTGCGACTTTGGTTGCGTGTTAAGTGGCCAACTCGGCGAGTCGGAGGCTGGACTCGGCGAGTAGGCGCTGAGTGGGAGAAAACCCTAAATTCGGGGGATGATCCCTATATAAAGGACATTATACCCTCTCCCCAGCCTCTTTACCCTCTGTTGATGTCCAGAAAACCCTAAGACATGATTGTGAGGGATTTGAGTGCATTTAACCTTGGAGAAGAGATTTTGGAGGAGATCTTGGAGAGATAGGAGGCTTGGAGCAAGGGGCTTTGCTAAGAATCGGATTTCTCTTCTGTTGGGGCTTCCTTTTGAGGCATTACTTCGTTTCTTGGGCTGTTATTCATCTAGATTCATCATCTTGGTATGTGTGGAAAGCTTAGCTTGTGGTATTTCGAGTTTGAAGGTTAGATCTGAGGTTACTACCTCAGATCTGGAATAGAGAAGGTCTAGAGTGCATTAAAGTCCCTGTCCTTGAAAGTTTGGTGAAGTGATCTTGTCCCAAACCCTAGTCCTAGAGTGTAAAATGCCTAGATCTCTTTGGATTCACGTAAAGTTTGCCACTTTACGTGATGGAAGGGTTGTAGAAGGGTAGATCTACGTTTTGGATCGATTGCATGGCCTGGAAGGCTTCTGTATGGGTTAAGAGCTAGTGGTATATCGACTGAAATTTGTTGAAATTTTTGGTCATCACAATCTGACCATCAAAGGGTGTTCATCGACTGATTATAAACCATGTTCAACAATTACAATCCTACTGAATTAGTTGAAAAGAGCCCAAAGGTATTACTTTTTTGTTTGAATTTTAATTGAATAATTACACTATATACTAACTTGTATACAATTCAAAATAGGTATTGGTAGGTTTTACCAACTGGTTTAAACCAGTTTGAAACAAGAAGACTTGTTCATGTAGAGTGTGGCAACTAAATGGTATGGATGTGTGCATTCAGTTGCAACAATCTCATACCTTAACAGTGATGTTGGTAGTTATGTGGATCCAATATAATATGGAGCAATTTATAAGAACACCTACAAGTATCCAATACGTGGGATGAATGGTAGCAACATGTGGCCACCTACTGAATTCTTTGCACTTTTGCCACCTTTGAAGAGAAAAATGCCAGGTAGACCAAAAGTTAATAGAAGAAAGGATGCAAGTGAAAGGGGTGCAAGACATATTGTGTCAAAGGTTAGGAAAAATATTATTTGTAGTGTATGCAAGCAAGTAAGACATAACAACGTTACATGTTCTCAAGCTGAAAAACCAACAAAACTCAAGGTAAAGAAAAGGAAAAGAGCAAATGGTAATGTTGGGAAAGAAAGCAGTGGTAAGAAGGCAAATGATGTTATAGATGAGCAAGGAAGTAAGGGTAATAAGGGTAGTAATGGTAATGTTGGGGATGGAAGCAATGGTAAGAATGTAATGGATGTAACATATGAGCAAGGACCTATGGTTAATAATGACAATAATGGTAAGGTTGGGGAATGAAGAAGTGGTAAGAAGGTAATGGATGGTAAAGATAAGAAAGGAGGTAAGGGTAAGAAGGTAACTATCAAGAAAAGAAAGAAGTCTGAAATAATAATCCAGAAAAAACTTGCTACACGGGTTGAGGGTAAAGTGGGGAAGGCAACACTATTGACAAGCCAATGGAACTTGAATAGGTATTAAATTTCAATGTCAGTTTAAGATTAAGTGTAGATGTTTGGTGTTATGTACTTCTTATTTAGGATCCAAGAGAATGTTTCGGATTATGTGAATGTTTATTGCTATGCATTTGTGATGTTGCAAAACAAGTTTTGATATTTGGTATTATCTATTGAATGTTGTTATGTATTGAATGTGGTTATGATTGGTGTTATGTTTGTATGATTAATCTTATGTTTGCGAAATAATGTTCATGGTTTCAACGTGGTTATGATTGTGTGTTATGGTTATGGATGTGCATGGTAGTGGAGTCCATTAATGACAATATTTTAAGACAAAATGCATATGGTCCCATTTAATCTAGTTCAATATGGTCCCATTATTATAGTTGAAGGTATATCCAATGTCACTATCAACAAATACACTACGAATCTAACTTGGGATCCCATATGACTTCCCATTGTTTTATGATTAAATTAAAATAACAGTACATGGATAATAGATTAATTTCCATTAAAAGGAAATAAACAACAGCTAACTATTACAACTTGTAAACAATTATGCCAAAGAAAACAATCCAACTAAAAACAAAACACATCTTCAGCTTCCAAATCTTTGATTCAAGCTTCTTTTTTGACCCAACCAAACCTGCAATCATAACTGGTTCAAAACTCATATTCTTAGTGTCTACTTCTTCTACCCAACATATAAAACCATTACGAGGTCCCTAACAAAATCAATTTTCGAGTGAGAAGATGAGAATTGAACAAACTAATAAATTAGGGCTACAGACGCCTAATAAACAAACTAACACACGCCTTAGTGGGGCAAGCATATAAGGGTCTTCTAGGGTTGAAGGGAGTGGAAGACATTCGTATTATGGAGACACATCCACACGAGCATTTCACCAATCTCGCTTTGTTATTTCCGAGAGCTCTTTACTTAAGAATGCAAACAATCACAGGTAAAAAGAAAGCTACTGTCGAGTAATGAAGTAAAGTACTTATAAAGAGGAAATGATGAAAATACCCCTTAACGAGAATACCCCTTTTGTTTGACCTCATGAACACCAGTCATAGTTGGTGCAACAAACACAATTAATTATCATTAAGTAAGGCAACCAAATCGTTACCCTTAATCGACAACAATGAACACAACAAATTATAACCCATTCAATCACTTTACATTACATCAAGATCATACCAAAACGCCTGTTACAAGTAAGCATGACTTCAAAATACATCCATAAATTACCATTACAACCACCATTGGATTACCACTACCTACATAAACTGTATTTACCACTAACACAAATGATCACACATAATCCTAATAACATATATGACAAGAAACACCATTAAACTAACAGTAGATTACGAGAAATAGATTATCATACCACTACAAACCACTTCCGTGAGATTCACTTGTTGATTATCAAGTGAATGATGAAAATCATTAACAGGAGCATCACGACGACAACACCCACAACCAACAGTGCAATCGCTTTAATCTGCTTCTCAACAATTTTGGACCTTTGTTGCATGTAGAGGACATCCACCCTGGAATGAAGGTAATCGCGACCCATCTCCTCCTTCATACGCTCCACCTGACCTTTTTGCTCAACTATCTTTTCACCACCATCACAAAAGATCGTGTACAAAACGTTTAAGTTAAAACCATCTGTTGAGCTTATCGAGTTATTCGAGTTATTGGAGTTTATAGTATCTAGTGATGGTGGTGGGGTAGAATACATGGAAGATAATGAAGGGCAAAGCGAGTATTGTATTATCGGTTGTCGGCTAGTGTTTGGTCGAAAGTGGTAACAAAAGTTTAGGGTTTTGTCCAACAGACCCTTCAATTATATAGTAGGGGACCACCGAACCCTTAGGGCCCAAGCAAGCCAAATCAGTCGTGAGTTGTTGATGTGTAATCCGAGTCGGGTGAGTTGACTCGCTAACTTAGTTGGATAATGACTAGCCAAGGAAACCGGTTGAATTGGGTCAAAATCCCAAATTAGCTGGTTAAATGTTAATTCATGCCTTTATAAAGCGAAAAAATAACATAAGGGACATTTTAAACCAAAATGTGTAAGTTCGTGGGGCTACAACGACTTTTCCCTTCGTTCTATTAGGTGTTTTGTTTGTGATATTGACACAATTTACTTCCACCGGAACATTTCATATTTACATATTTGATGTATCATTCTTAGGCTAAGGCATCTCCAACCCATCCTTATACTCTATTTTTTTCCTTATTTCTTCCCCCTATTCCCCTCCAACTCTACACCATTTTCATATCTATTTTTAGAGATATGAATAGTATTCCTCAAAATATGAGAGAATACTATTCATATCTCCAAAAATGGAGTTGAAATTTCGGTTGTCACTTTAGTCTCTCTAATTTTTGTTTTATAAATTATTAGTTTATTTTTATCTACTAATTATAAATGAAATGCAATATTTAATATTTTTAATATCATGTTACACTAATTTATATTAATTAATCGCAAATATAGAGTTTAATATTTATTTATCAAATCTATACAAAAAAATTAAGTATATATTAAAGACTTAAACACGGTAATATAATTTATAAAATATAGTAATCAAATATGCTCATAATCTTGACATATTTATTATAAATATAATCTTATTTATTAAAAAATTATTTATATTAAAGTAATAATTAATTTAAATTTATTATATACAAACATTTTATTTATGATAATATAATTTGCAATATTTTTGTAATGAAAAAATGTAATATATATTTTTTTAAATCTAATTGGTAGATGGTGTATTTGATTATATATATATATATATATATATATATATATATATATATATATATATATATATATGTTATAAGAATAAATTATTTTATAAATATATTTTTTGGGGTAAAAAATGATGTAGAAAATAATGTAAGATTGTAAATAAAACACTATTTACATCATTTTTTACTCCATTTATGAGGAAAAAATAAAAATAGGTTGGAGATGATTTAAAGGGAACGATCACATCCAACACATTATGTCACATGAGTGTTACAAAGCCACTACCAAAACACTAGCTTGAGAAATAGTTATCACTCAATAATTTTTTTTGACATTATTAGATTAAATTAAAAACATAATTCAAATAAAAACACACATTAAATTAAAAACACATTACACTATTTTGAAACACACAAATTTAAATCCTAAAATACTTAAAAAAACAAAAAAAAATCATAAATTACTTATTTATCCTAAATTACTTAAAAAAACATAAAATATATCAACTAAAACATAAATATTAGAACCTAATTTTTATATTTTCCGCGGACTTGTTGTTGGATTTTTAAAAATGTCGCTAGATTTTCCTGGTCGAGATCCGGTTGAGGCTTTATATTTCTGATTTGAAGATCGGTAAGAGCGATTTTACGACAGCGAACTTCCTCCATTGATTGAAAACTTTTTTCTAGAAAACTTAGAGTTTTACCTATGGATTCCATTCACGTTTGTGTGTTTAACTAACACCCAATAGGCCATCATTATCAATATCCAATCTCCACCAAACCCATGAATTACCCTTCACCCAATCCTTATCCTTCTTTCCTTTATCCCAAGTTATCATCATCAAGACCTCTTGTAATGTTCTTTCATCTTAATATCGTTTTTTAGTTGGAAAAAATGTAGCAAGAACAATGCAAACTGGTTAAGGGTGAAGCAACATTTCAATATCTAGGTTTTTTAGTTTAGTGTGTGGTTGTGTTTGTTTTTTATTCTTCGATTCTATAGCACTAGGTTAAGCCTGCTCCACCAGGCTAGTGACCGAAAAAGCATTTTAAACTCCATCCCCACCTGAAATCAACCAACCTGTATGGAATCGAAGATGGACAAAATGAAGTCAATTTTGCTCAGGTATGCTTTTCGAAAGAAGGAAACGAATGAAAAAAAAATCATGACAATATGGAAAGTAACTTCAAGAACTGTAGAAGGTAAGAATCGAGGAGGGATGAGATCGACGGAGTGGAAGGGTGAAGTACTTACAGGAAAGAAGGGCGATGGTGTTGTTGGTTGGTTCACCGGCGGGAAACGTAAGAAACAAAAATGAAAAAGATGAATGAGTCGATTATTAAAGTGAGGGTGTGGGTTTTGTGGGGCTAATATATATTTTTAATTTTATGAATATTAAAATAAAGATTAATAAATATAAAAAAGAATATTATTTTTAATTTTATGAATATTAAAATAAAGATTAATAAATATAAACAAAAATTAGAAGAGTATAGTAGTTCTCTCGAGTTTATAAGAGACAAAATCCACAAATAAAAAATATATTATTTTGGACTAATGGTGAAGTTTGAAAGTTTTTGGACATTATCTATAATTTTTTTAATTTTTTACTAACGACAGTGATCGATTTTGCAGTTTTGTGGATGTTTTAAGTTCAAACCTTGGGGACCAATAAAAAAAGAAAAGGTGTGTGACACAGTTACGGAAAAGGTTTTTAATATATTCACCACATTTGAGCCATCTTTCAAAACCTCACAATATCGTGCAAGGGGAGAGCCCATTTCCTTCAAGAAATTAGAAAACAGTGGATCAACTTAAAAATGCAAACTTTTAATAAATTGAACAAAAGACATAAAAACATAAAATGCCACATTTGATTCAATTCTCATAAACAATAGCGTAATGAATCCAAGACAACTTTGGCATAATAATTGGGAATAAAATATTTAGAGTATAACATTCCGTTAATCATAAAGGCACAAGATATCAAGAATATAATCAAACATTAAAAAATAACCTTGAGTGGTCGACTTGTATGGTTGGATAGTTAGGTTACACGTTACATAAATCAGAACATAGCCATGGTATACCAAACATTAAATAAATAATGTTCACACTTAATAAATTCGACATTTGTCACGCATATATCTTAGAATATGATATATCATAAATATGAGTAATGTAATTATGAATTTAATAAATGATTAAAACTTTTAATTAAATATAGATATTAAAAAGATTGGTTTTGCTTGCATTTGCATATCTTATTAGTTTATAACCCATGAAAACTACGGTAATAAAATTAATTAAATTTTCATAATAAAAACTTAAAATTATTAATCAATTATTTTAAATAAATTATTAATTAAGAGATTTTTTTAATTATATAAAATTATAATCGTTGATTTAAATAAATACTTGACATTATAGTTTGTATTGATTTTATTTTAATTTTTATTCTATAATATTAATTTAATATAATTAAAGTGAGAAATTTAAAATTTAAAATATAAAATGAAAATCAATAAGTTAACAAATAGCATGATATTAATTAGGATGTATAATAGGATGGTAGATGACAAAAAAAGAATAAACTTATTCTTTTATCCGAATAAAAAGATTTCTTGATAAAGATTTTTTTTTTTTTTGGTAAATTGGGTTAATTTCATTTCTTAATTTTTTTTAAAACAAAAATAGTTAGATACTAGCTGAATGATCAAAATAGCCATTGATTATACAAATGTCGTCTGCGAAAGATATCATCAATGTATGAGAGAAAAACTCATCAATATACTGAGAAAAAATCGTTTGGGCAGTGAAAAAAGCTTACTTGACTGCAACATGATAAAGACATTTTTCTCGTATTTCTTCGTTTTCATATCAAATTTTTAGTGAAAACTGTTATAAAAAAACACTATTTTACATACTTAAACATCTTTTTAGCTATTGAAATGTTTTCGAAGATTTTTAACGTTCGAAAGATGTTTGTTTTTCTACTTTTTGTAGATCATATCTGAGCAATTAAGAATTTTTGTAGAATATATATACAAACTTTTCTGATTTTTTTATTGTATTTTTATAGGTTAAAGATACAATATAAAGCCCTTCTCTGTCGTTGGAAATAGTTTTTAAAAGTTTAATACAAAAATGAAACAAGATATATGTTTTTTTATTTGATTTAGTTTTTTCTTCTAAAAGACGACTTCGTTTTGTGATTTCAAGATGACATTTATTGTAATTTTGGCGATTAGGTTAATTTTTTTATTATTTTCTTAAAATAATAAATAAAGGAAAAAATAACAAAAATAGCAATTTACACTAATTACATTATAAAAATAATAAAAAAAAACCGAAGTTGCAAAAATAATCATGAATTTCGCAAATGGAATAGTCTCATCTGCGAAATGGGCTTTCCATCTGTGAATGTACAAGCAGCTAAAGCACAACTGTGCTTTAGCTGCTTGTACATTCGCAGGTGGTTTATTTTTTTTTAATTTTTTTTCCCTATATATATTGAAATTGTAGGGTAAAATCGCAGATGGAATAGCCCCATCTGCGATTTACTCTGATTCCATCTGTGAAATTGCGGTTTATTTTAAAAAAAATTTTTAGTTTGACTATGAAATCAATTGGTTTGACTACGAAATAATGTTGTTAAACAAGAAGTTAAAGTTATGAATAGGTGTGTGGTAAATAAAACTAAAAAGAAAAAAATTCAAGTCAAAAAAATGAAAAAAAAAAAACATGTTTATGGGCATTATGTTGATGTTGGTGATGTACGTTTAGATATAACCGAGCTACAAACCAATAGATTTCATACTGGCACATAGTGGCACATCATGTTTACGGGCATTATGTTGATGTCAGTCTTTTTTGGCCGTGAAAATGGGGATGTCACATAGTGGCACGTCATGGATTGTCGGTTTCAGTGGTGTCAAACCGAGATGTCCGTTTCACTTCCATATTTTGGAAGC